TATAATTTTATTAGATTTAATTACTATATTTTTTTTGTATGATATGAAGGCTCTATTTTATATAAAAATGATTTTTTGACTCTCAGGACAATTTTTATTGATCGTTTTTTAGTAAATATAAGAAATGTCTATTAAAAAGAAAATACTTTTTTTTTACTATAATGGGTTACTACTGGATGTTAAATATTTAGAAGAAAACAAATTTATAGGGGTTTTACGCGTCTGTGAAGAATACAAAACCTACCCGGTATTTGATATTTTGTAAGTATTTAATATTCGATTTTCCAATAATTTTCGTAAGAGCCGCGTGAGTTTCCGTAATGCGATCCAATCAATTGTTTCCGGAACGGTTGACTGTGCTGTATTACGGGAGGTAATCGAGGAAAAGTTTGCTTGGCCCTTATATCGTTACGTGACTTCAAACAAGTGGAATAAAATGGATCCACAAGGAAGGTTTTTCGTAAGACAGACAAAATTCGTCTAGCTTGACCTTTGTCCTATAGAACATGTACCTTATCGACTAGGCGTAGCTATAACATCTATAAGGTAGCTCCTATCCCAAAGGATGCTATCAAAGGCAAATAGACGAAATTTTCAGAAATGCGTATCGTGGAAAATAAAGAACCTCACCATTTTTGTTCCTTTCTCAGATGAACCTCTTTCTGGATAAAAGTCAGGAATTTCAAGAGTTTTGGTTAAAAGGGCGAATGGCAGGCATAAGTCGACTTATTGCTCATTTTTTACAAAAAAACTATTACGATAATGTGTACGTGATCCATATTCTAGAAGTGTGTTTATCTTGTTATTCGCTCTTCGACCAAACTTTTTTTTTATAATTTACCGATTGTCACTCTAAAAAGTTGCGTGCACCAACATTTTTTAGTGAGACATCAAAATAATTTTGTATAAAAAAGCTTGGAATTTTACGCAAAAATTATTTCTAAAAAAGGATTGCAAATTGTTACGTATCAAATTTGTCATCTTTTTACTAAATTACTTATGCGGATTTTTTAGCTTGATACCATTCATTAATAATGAATTCGTTACGTATGTTAAGAAAATGTTTTGGTTGAAAGATTTCATCACCACTTAATCTTTTAGCATCAGTCCAAACAATTATTGCTCGACCGTCAGTAATTTAGATTTCTTACGTTCGACCGTTCTTCCAGGAACCGTGAGGAAAACGATAGAAAAGAGCACAGCATACTCTTAATCTAATATCGAAAGGTTCGTAGTAAGGCATCATGACGATACGGCCCTGTGAAGTTCAGTTAACTTTTGCATATGTACTACTTTACATGCGCCAGTGGACTAGGTCTGTTTTCATGGGCGCGCTCGAGAAGACCTTTCGCATAAATTCATCCTGGCGAGGAACGGAAAGGTGCGACCTTCGTATGTATTAGGGTAATTCGAAAGTTAATCCCATCGTTTCTGGGACTATACCGCCCACTACTACCTGAGGGTAGTAAATTTATCGGTAACACGTAAAAAGTACTTTAATTCCCACTGAGAGAATTTAAAGTAATACTCAATTGATTTGTACGATTTGAATATACAACGGGGATACATTTTTTTCACATAACTCATGCCGGTTTATTCAATTCCCGTATTTTCAAGCCGGTTACGTTGTGAGAAAAAGACGGATATGCATATACGTAAACCACGTGTATGCGCATATGTACCTTGGCCTTAGGGAATTATTGCATTTCACGATGAGAATTGATGGTAGTAGGAAATCTTTGCATTATCGAATCCTTGAAAATCGCGTTGCTGGAGGGTGAAATTGAAAGGTAGACTGATGACAGGTTGCTAAAACACAGTATAGCCTTTTATCCAGAAGACGAGAAAAGTTCCATTCAAAAGAAATCAACTAGGTACATATTCCTCTGCGAGGATAAATATGTATATTTGACTATACGGAAAATTGGAATAAAACGAATTATGCGTAGTTATTAATTTTTTTCCTCAAGTATTCGAGAAACATTTGAAAAGTTCTAAAGGAATTTGAATGGATCCTCAACGATGAAAGAATTACGACTCTTTCATGGAAAATTCTCCTTGAGATTTATCATCTTTTTTTATTCAAGGATTTGTAGACTTAACTCACAAAGGAAATTAATTATTAACGTCATTAGGTATTACGCGAGATGAGGTTTTAACGTATTTCGTATTCCTTCCTTGCAATTTATTACCAAGTCTGTAAGAAAGATATCCCATAAAATACCATGGTTGTTAAGTTCATTCTATAGGACTCTCCACTGCCGACTAGGGTACGTATCGATCTTAGGAGCTTTAAGTTATCTTTCGTGTTCAAGATATGGTCTTATTGTACAAACAGTATAAGTGGTAAATTGAATGCAAAAATACAGTCAACAGGAAATTCATTTTGTGTGCCAATGGCTTATGACTGTCTCACAATACAGTGTAATCTCTGTAATCCCTTTCTATTTATGGATATTCGGCTTATAATGCCAACCTCGTTATACTATTTTAACAACTCCATAAATGAATCGTCAATATTATCATTCTGAAAATATTACTGATATTAAGCTTAATAGCTTAATCGAGGTACTTTAATATAGGTACCGACAATCCTGTACTATCAAGTACAAGTATAATAACGAAATAGATAACATTTGGAAAATGCCTAAATAACGATAAAATAATGAACACTATCATTATAAAAAACGGAACACTGTATCTTGTTTAAATATTAAAACGTATTATGAAAAATTTTTCATTATCATAAATAATTTTTCCATAAGGAATACATACAAGTATTTCATAGGTGCATTCCCATAGATATATTTCCCAGATTGTACATAAATACGTAATGTAACAGGCATACAAAGCATTAAAAGAAGAGTGCATAACAGAGTGCAGGAAAAATAAAAGAATGACAAAACTCACCCGGCGCATGACGCGTAGCGAAAACGAAGACGTCTTCATTTTGGTGGCAATCCTGATCAGCTAGGATTATAATCTCGCGTTTGGTCGGGTCCTGGATGATGTCCTTCGAGGTAAATGAAATTCTGGTCTGCTGTCAAGGAAGTCGTCGTCGAAAGGTATACGCCGGGAACTGTCTGTTGCTGCCAGTCTGTGACCACAGGTGGTTCCTCGAAGTTTTGAATTTCGTGGGGGAGGCGTCCACTCCTCTATCAAGATGCTGAACGCCAGAACGACGATGACGGCGACGGCGGGGAAGAGAAGGACGACGACGATGATTACTACGACACCAACGACGGACAACGAGGAGGACTTTTAACTGTGTGCTAGGCGTCGTAGATGCGGCCGCTGAGCGTCTGCCGTCTCCTCGACGCAAAACCACCCTGCGTTCACGCGCACGCTCGCGAAGACCGGGGCCAGGGCCGCGCCTATCTCACGTCGAGGGTCCAGTTAGCTACCAGTTTAGAGCATCGACGAACCCGTCAAGGACGAGACACCTGTGCAACCTTCACGACCTTCGTCACCTTCGGCAACCGGGCTAACTTGATGCTAACTGCATTAACTTTAGAGCCTATCCTCTTCTAGGCTATACCTTATATCAGATACCTTTAGGTTGTAATCTCATTGCCACCCTGGTTAACTAAGGTGGGTGGGACGTGGGTGGTAATGAAATGCTATGGGTTGAGAATTGAGGACTTTTTGAAGAGACAGCATCTTTTAAACCAGTGTTGTAGTCATCGGCTTGATATTTTTCAGGGGTTGAAGGCCATTATTTTTCCATATATTATGTATTACGTATATTAAGTGCTTTTGAATGACATAATTTAACGTTTAATAAAATTACAAGGGTATTTTCGTCTCTGCAATACTTTCTGAGCGATTTGATTTTGATCTTAGTTACGGTGCTAGATTTTTGATTTGATAAATAATTGTGTAGATGTGCTTGCCTATGTAGGAGGTGCCAGCACTTCACAGGAAGATTCAGCTTGGTTCAGTCGTGGGCTTCCAAGCTTTAAAATCCCAATCCTGCTCCATAATTTTCAAATTGCTAACCAACCCCTGGCAGTCAAAGTCTGCCCCAAACTCTAAGAAAAATATCATGGCTTGGATCTATATCACATTTCAACAATAAATTAAGATACACCGCCAGTCGTAATACAAGTTTGTAATTCCGAGCTTTGCCCAAGCTTATTTTCGCTTTAAACACTTACGTCGTTCCAAGATTGGCATCACATCCAATCTTGGACAAAGGCTGGCCCGATTCTACTTTGTAATTTAAAAAGCCTGAACTAGCACGAGATTTCAATTTATGGGTCTATGTTGTAGATGCGACCACTGGTTGGGAAGAAATGAGATCAGTACCGTTTCCAGTCTCGTGAGATACTACGTAGTATCTCACGAGACATCAGAGTGACAGGATTAGTGGGGGAAGGTCGAGGACATGGATACATGTATTCTGATAGGACTAAAGGTGTCTGAAAAAAAGAAAGGGAAGAACAAACAAGATACCACAAAGTAGGGTTATGCTATAATGGATCCTTATATGAGTTTTTGGCTTCGGCAATTATAGTTTGCTAACAGGGTAAATACTGGCCTAATGGATCCTATGGAAATTCACGTAACTGGTTATAGAGATTTAATATACATCTTAAGGGATGAAAGGCACTGGGAATATGATTTCCCATGTAAGCCGGCCCCAAAAACGGTTTCGAGGAAGGACACTTTCTGAGCGCAGGGTGGTTACTTTGCAAGGCGATATCAATCAGGCTATTGGGGGTAGGTACCTGTTACTTAGAACGACATAGGGGTAGGTCGATCTTCATGAAAGAATATACCCAATCGAAAGTTTAGAGTTCACGCGGTCTGTACGTCGGGGTTTTTTTTTCGTTTCGTTTTTATATCGCCGTTCCGTCGCCTCTAACATGATAAACGTAAGAGAGCAGAAAAATCAGAGAGACCAGTCAAGTTTCTAATCAATTATTAACTGCTTGATAACACGATACCGTAACGATACGCTCTGCAGTCATATTAAACGCAACGTTAACGCAACGCAGAAGATTGACGTTAGCGTTCAGTCTTCCCGTTTGTTATACACGGTGCGGTTGTTTGTATCAGAAACAGATTATTGTGAATTTATTGATATCAAGGAAGTTTTTTTTTTTAATTTTGTATTTGCGATTTTTATTTTGCCATTATATACACATTCGCCAAAATATACGGTTAGCAAATGATTATTTAACTGCATCTATGTATAGAAAATGGAAAAGCAGATTCTTTAAGTATAGGTTCATTTTTTAGGTTTAATTTAAAGTTTTGGCTCTTCGTATAATGGATATTCTCTAATAACTACATTAATTATTTTGGACAGTGTACTAAAATATTTATAAACTATTTGTGAAGTATGGGTATCTTAAATTAAGTGTAAGACCTTTCTGCTGATTCAAATAATTGTGGTAATGAAAACTTTGTGAGTTAGTAACGTCACTCAAATTTTTCTTTCCGATACATATAAATTTCTTATCAATAGTTTTCAATTTCAAGATGGCAATGAGCTTGTGCAGTAGTAATTGAATATAAACGCGTTTGAATGTACCAATCGATAATTCAATTACATACGCAATAATGTGACGTAGCGAGACAGTTTCCAGCCTACCTATTGATTTATTTTTGTATATATTAAATGTAAAATATCTCAAAATAAAAATAAAATAAAAATATCTGCTCTTCCGTTATTTTTAATTTGTATAATTTTTCATTCAAACATGAAATAAAAAAATGCTTAATATTTGAAAGTTGACATATTAATCATCTCCTATAGGAAAATGCTGCGCTGACGGTGAAAGTTATGTTTTACAGATGCAGCTGAACTCGCTATCCCGTTCGGCCATCGTGATCATCTTTATTTCCGCCTGGAATATCATAGCTTCCGCCGACTACAAGATACTTCCGGTACTCACGGATATTTCAATGCTTACGTCGAATTTTCGGAATTGACGAAAATCCTGTATATGTTAATATGAATAAATATTTCATTTTTAGATTACCTTCGATTACATCGCCAGACCAAATAATCCAAGATGTTTTTCCAAGCAAAGAAGATTTCATCTCGATAAGGAAGCAGAAGTCCTGTTATCCGTAAATATAACTGAGAACAGGAATTCAAAAAGGTATTTAGAATCCTTAATTATACCAAGATTAGACGTTGCTGCTATCCTGCGAGAAAATCTTGTGAGAGTCCTTGGCCAAGTTTTGCTTCTACCTGTAGATAAAGAGTCCAGAGTGTCCTGCGAGAGGATTCAAGAAGCTTTACAAAGTCATCATATATCAATTTATGATATCCTGCCTATAATTTCAATTATTTATCAAAGGACACCAAAACAGCAGCTACACATAATTCTCCAGATCCTGGAAAGGATCGACAGTAGCTTTGTTTCCGGTTATGCGAGCCTGTGCAAGGATGCTCTGTCTGATGGGAGGTTAAATTTTGATTCTATCACTATGGATCTACTAGTGGGAATAGATAAGGATATTTTTAGATCCTTAATTTTTTATAACGACCGAAATGGAAGAAGATATGTACCTTTGACCCTTGAGGATGCTATGCGATTAATCATGAAAGGACTTCGCGAGGAGCGAATAAGACTTAACTTTAAAATAATAGCCGCAATTATTCCACATTTGAAAAATTTTGATCTGACCAATCCTGAAATTCCTGACGCCATTAAATTTGTTGTGGATTATATGAAGGATTCCACGAAATCCCATGATTCACTTTTGGAATATATCGGAGAGGATCAATTGGATAATCCTTCAAGTCTAGTCAGAATCGTATTGGAAAGAATGGAGATGTCTGAGGAATTAACTTTGCCTTTTTTAAAAGAATCGATAAGCCTGTTAATGGACAACTTTGACGTTGCATATCGTCGTCCTGTATGGAAAGACGAACCTACGAAAATTTTTCAAATCGTCGTACCCGATTTTTATCCTGGCAGTATCGTGAAAATAGCCAGATATATCAAAGATAAATTTAACAATACCGTGAGTTATGTCGTCGACAGAACTTTTTATCGCAAGAATACGGAAATCCTGTTGGCAATATTGTTACGTCTGAACAATGAAGTTGTCCTGCCAGAATTCATGCAAGGACACATTCTAGCCTTGAGATCCTTTGTGTCTCGAAAATTTGAAGAGAATACTCAAAAAGGATCAACCATAGCGGATTACTTTTATATGATCAAAAATTTTGAGTCCTTCCGCGCACCCTGCATGCCAAAAAGGATCTTGGAAGCTGAAGGACGACTTCGTCCTTTATTACCAAATGTTCTACCCTGGTCATTTGCATTGCCGCCAGGAAATCCTTGGCAACAGACATTAAAAATATTGATAAACTTAAAAAGTCAATCAATTCCAAAGAAAGTAAATTTCGAGCTAGACAATTTTATATATCATGTACAGTCCAGTGGTCTTTTAGGTAAATCAAATATTCTCTATGAAGACGGAATAATATTTCAACGTGATGATTCATTAGAAGTTGAATTGGATATATATTCACTTTTACTGAGAATCCCAAACATCTTCAGAGACGAGAGATACAGTCCACTGATATCCTTCTTGACAAAATTAAATATCGTCGACTACCTTGGTCCAAGATTCAATGAATTTGCATACGCAAAACCGCGACAGCTGCTTCTTGCTTTATTAAAAACAGCCTTTTCGACTGCTGCTGTGCAACAGGAACAAAAATTGAGAAGAGCATTGTTCGTAGCGCAAAGTTACTTGGAGGAACCGATCTTAATAAATATGTATATATCACGTGACTTGCAAAATATTCTCAAATCACTTCCGGCAATTGAAAATAACCCAAGACTAATCCCTCTGAAGTTGCTTTTCCGTGAAGAAAATTTATTTAAATATATGTCCCCTGGGTTTAGTTTAGCCGGTCTGAAGTCACCTTTAGAACAGGTTGCTCTAATATTGAATACCGTAAACCTAAAGCCAGTACCACAGCCATTGGGAGAGTCCATTAAGCTTGCTCTGAATGCCATGGAAGGTCATCCATTGCCATGGAGGTCCTTCATGCAAGAGGATTTTATTTATCTCGTCAACGAACTGTTGTCTCGGAATAAAAAAATAAAAACTTATCTGCTGAAGGCAACGCCGTATAAAAAGGTATCCGATTGGAATTTGACATCGAGTGGAACGCCTGAAAATATTTTGGCGAGAGCCCTGAGGTATCCCGTAGAGAATATATCACGGGACCCAAAGTTAGCCAGGACGATAAACAATGCCATAACGATCCTTGAAGGAGAGAGTAGGCAGGACTTTGAACTTTTGACTAAAAAAATGTTGGATTCTATGTTAGAATATTTACCGGACAGCGTGGATACAAGAGTCGTGAATCTCCTATTGAAAAAGTCCAATCTGGCCATGATTAATACAACATTCAACATCTCCTCTTTAAACGATCTAGATCCAAAGACGGCCTTGATTAACCTATTGGAAAATTTAACAAAATCCAAGGAAATTCAGACTGAGGAGTTACTCATTATAAAACTTAAAACTGCTTTGAGTTCTGTTAAAAAATTTAAAAAATCATCCAACCATAGTGTATTTGATATATATTTAAAGAAAGTCCTTACGAATCCTGCTGATAAAAAATATGAAGCTCTTTTTGAAAAATTAAGAAAAATGAACGGAACTGAAGTTTTACCTTTGGAACGAGAATCCATGTTACGAACTTATTTAATCATGATAAAAGACAATAGTACGACTTCTGAATTAAGAAATGCAGCGAAATCAGCGTTGCGCGAATTATCTATCGAACGAAGTAACGTGTCGAGTGTAAACCTGACTTTGAAAAATTTCAACTTTTTTCTCAGACAGTTAGAAAAAAGCTCTCAGGTAGAGTCCAATGAAGAATTCATAAGACAAATCTTGATGCACGTACCGAACACTATAACTTTCAACGAGATACGCCAATTCGTAAGGTCCGGTCGAGTCTTCGAATTTCTGCCGAAAGGATTCAATATGGAAAAGCACTCTTTACCCCAGGAAAAGCTCGTTCATGTTCTCGAAACTGTGCAGCGTGGTTTACAGCTCGGCAGTTCGCTTTATAGGTCCATGAGGCACTTAAATCGTCACCTGTTGGACCAACTACGTGTTATTCAAGAAATTGATGTAGAGAGCTTACGTAATATACTAAACGAGTTGTCGGTCAATCGAGATCTGATAGCACTGAAGTTATTTTTCAATACTGACTATTTAGCCAAGTATTTACCGCGAAAGTTCAGACTCAAAAATCACAAGAATCCTCGCAGAGCACTCGTGGCCATTTTGGAAATATTCGTTACAGTCCCTTCTGTCAGGAAACGCACTGAACTATATAACGCAATTTTATACGTGAAACTGATTTTGAACGAAGAGTTAATGAAGCGAAATACACGGAAGCTTTTGTTGACGAAAAGACTGAAGGAAGAAGAATTTAATTTTGTTTTAGCACTTTCTGTACGGTCAAGCTACGTGAAAGATTTGTTATCGCCAAGGAGTTTGGTACGAGTGTTGCCGGTAACCTTTAATTTTTCTGGTATGAAAACATTCAAAGCCAAAACTGTGCATTTGCTGAAAGCTTTGATAAAGACCCAGAGGTCGCTAAGGACGGATTTGCGAAAATTACTTGAGGAAGTGCAATCTTATCCGAATATTTTGAAAATTAAGGACGAAGAGCTTCAACCGTTGATTAGCTTAATTCCAGATAGTGGTATACCGGATCTGCCTCTACTTAAATATAATTTAAAAGCTAATAAATTGGCAAGCATATTACCGAGTAATTATATAATAAAAAGGAACAAGACACCCAAAGATAATTTACAAGAAATTTTATATTTCCTTAATTACACTTTGGATAAAAGTGAAGTCAGATTAAAGAAAGTTGTTTTTGCTGTTTGGTCGGAATTGCATAAGAAGAATCCGAAAATATTTCGCGTGCATGTGAATATCAGTCTCGATGACGTTCAATCTTTATTGTTGGAAATTCCATTTCACAAACACAAAGATCTTGAAATCTTGAAATTTCTGTTAAACGAACATAAAATCCTTGCAATTTTACCACAAAATTTTTCTTTGAGCCAATGCAAAACAAAGAAATCCTGTCTGCTTACAATTTTGGAAACAGTTATGAAGAGACCTGAAGCCAAAAATGTCATTCAGGGTTTAAACAAAGCTAAGAATATAATACATCTCATGCCTGACACTCCGAAAATCAACAATACTGAAATCAAAAATCTGTTCTCGATGATAATTCAAAATGAAAAACAATTGCAACATGTCTTGTCATCCTGTCAAACAAAGAATCTTTTCTTGCATCTGCCAATCAACTTCAACCTACAAGCACTGAGTTCGCGCAAGAAAAAAATTCTAGCTATAGTCTACAATTGCAAACAAGTAAAATTAAATACTTTCGTTGTTAACAAATTATTGAAGAAAATTGAACAGACAGCCAAGAAATTACCGGATGTGGATCTAACGAGAGAAGATATTGAAAATATCATCAATGAAATACCTTATACGAGCTTCTCGATAATCAAAATTCTTCTGGTTTTCCTCGCCAAATCTAATATCATCGAATTGCTTCCATGGAATTTGAATCTAGAAATCCAAGCCACATGGAAATTAAAAGCATTGACTTTGATCAAAACAATGAAGAAAATTGCATCATTCGAAAACGAAAAAATGATGGCGGCCATGACCGATCTTGAAGAAAATATTAAAAAATTGCCTAACGAACCGCGTCTAACGCAACAAGATTTAACTTCACTGCGGAAGCTATCGGTTCTCCAAGACATTAAAGCGCAGGATATTTTGAAATTTTTATCTCTGAAATATCTTCTTAAAGTTGTACCAAGTACTGTCAACATACAAGAATTAACATTCGATTTTACCAAGTTAACCATAATATTGCATTACATTAACAGATTGGGTCCTGTTATGCAAAAAGATATTAATAAATCCCTAAAGTTCGTGGAACATAACTTGACAAAAGGTGCTGAGCAAGAGGCTTTGAATTTTTTGAAAATTCAGATCAATCAGAATGAGAACAAATTTCTGCCCTTGAAATTGCATTTGATGGCGAACAATGAAAAGTTTTTCGCGTTCCTTAGTGATATTTCACACGGTTACGAGTATCAATATATTGTGGCCAGAGTTCGCGTGATATTAAAGCGCTTGCTGACCAGTCGTGACATTCAAAAAAGTAAATCTTTGGTAGAATCAATGGAAGCGCTAGTATTCCAGTTATCGACAGGACCTCCAGCTGATTATGACATACAAGAGGCCTTAGAAGAACTTCCTATTTCTACTAAATATCTGGAATTGCGAATTCTATTGAAATCTAGCAATTACAAGAAATTGTTTGGTAATATTATGCTAACCCAGGAGCACACCCCTAAAAGGATTTTATTGGATATGTTAAAGATGGTTGTTAAGGTAGAACAGGATACTGATATCCTTCAGATCATTGGGAACTTAATAAAAGAGGTACAAAATTCAGTATGGAATTTTGAATTTGAAGAGATGTTTAAAGAATTGTTAAATTATGCTAAGCATATGAGTAAATTAGAAAGTATTAGATCCTACTGGATCCATGTAGGTCCTGAACAGATTCTGGGTAAGGATTATCATACTAAATACCCTAAAATATCTGATAGGCTCAAAATACTTTACGAAAGGATAACAGTAGACCAAGAGGTGGACGGTAATAAAAAACTTAAAGAATCCGTGAACTATTTGCATGTGATACTCAAAGGTGGAGAGGTTACCGACCGGACAATTTCCCTTGAAAAGGACATCAATGAAATCAATGCAAAGACGTTATTCGTGGTACTGCCAAAAACTAGAGACGAGGGGATCATTCTGGGTATTTTGAAATTCTTTGCAATTCCAAATCTGATGCAGAAAATAAAGCTTTCTAAGAATTATAGCCAGTATGAGAATAAAGGATCCTTGATGCAGGCTATATTGAAAAGTGGATTGAGTCTAGACGTAGTCAGAGAGGATTCTAGAATGCGAAAATCATTAGAATATTTCATTGACAAGATCCGATTCGATGGTCCTGGTGGTCGACCAATAGAGTTCAAAAAATTAATCAAAGACATGCAGATCGATATGATAGGTCTGCTTAAAGCGGTTGATCCCAAAGCCGTGAACATTTCCATGGTAGTGAAAATGGGAAGATTTTTCGAAGACGAATACAATGATCATATACACGGTATTGGATTTGACAAGACAGTTCACAAATCACGTGGTGAATATCTTAAAGCTTTATTGGAACACTTGATACATCACACTGATGTACCCAATGATATAAAGGATTGCGCAAAAAATATATATCAAGCTGTAAAGCTCAATGGAAGCGGTGCAGAACGAGTCGATGTCAATGAAGAGATCATACCTGATAATAGAGTTTTTGGAAATGATTTCGATGAATTTGAGACAACTGAAAAATCGACAAATGATCTACATACGATTTTTTCACATCTTCAACCAGAATCGTCCACTGACTTATGGGACGTACTAGTTCCGACTGATGTACATTCGAGTAGTACTATTTCACATCCAATAAAGAAGAAGTCTAAGAAGCGAAAGAAAAACCATGAATCACGAAATGATATGAAATCAAAAAATGTAAATTTGAAAAATAATGCGGTATCAGAAAATATGACTATTGACAATAATAAAGTTGGCACGTTATCTAATATAACACTTAAAGCTCAGACCCAGTTTAGAAGAAGCATAAGGCAAGTCGCAAGAAATGGAAGTAGTAGGAATAGAAATTATGAAGAAAGTTCAATCAATCATGATCCAGAATCCGCAACCTTTCATCCCGACGAGATTCTCTTTGATCCCAAAGATATAACTGATGATCCTTCCTTAAGAATAATACCGGATGTACGGAAGCTGATCACTTTTAAGGAGGCTGAGTCCTTATACAAGCGGAAGCGAGGTCCTGTGAAACCCATGAGGGTTCGTTCTAACGAACTTCCTGCTACTGTAGAAGAGATTAAGGTCGTCTCACACGGAACGCGTAAAGATCAGAAAGTAGTGGACCTTGAGACTAGGATGCTGTTCGTCCGACCAATCACGATGGATCCATATAAAAAGAACAAGACGGTAAAGAAGGATTTGAGTAAGATTATCATCCCCCAAAATAAGATGATTTGTCAGGATACGATAAAGCATAACGTAACTGAATCAAGGAACAAAAATACATCCTCGAAAGTAAAAACAATGAAAATTCACAAACGAGTTTGAAAAAAAGTAAGTGAATTTTCAACAATTCAGTGGGTTTATTTATTACAAAAACATATTTTCAGAAGTGTCCTGAATGCAGTAAACGAAGAAATCGTATACAACAGGATATAATGATGAAAAATATATATACAGATCTTCAGCATAGACGAATCTACAGTGTGTTTAAAATAATTTATAAATAAGAACAACGCTTGTACTATCGTTAAAGATTTATTTCATAATATTACACCAACAACTATTATTGAATTTTAATAATAATAATTCCTTATCGTGTTAAAAATGCGAATAAACACTTATTTAATAATATATTTAATTATATATATATATTAATTAATTATAATATCGTATCAGTAATATATCAATAGCCTAGAAATGCGATGCACGCTGATTACTTCCCACGTTCTTTCAATTTTTGCCGCTCAGTTTCGGAATTTCCCCTCCACGTATCTTGTGCGTATTTCACATTTTTTTTTGCATATGCATTTCATTTCGCTTCGTGTTATTGTTATCCGTTGCTCTTATCTTCAACGCTCGTCGTTACTTGGAATGCTCAATGTACATGTAAGTGCATTATTGAAAGTGATTAGAAAAATAAAAGAAGAGTGAAGGGCGCGGTCGGAAGCCGATCAAAGCAACGACGGTTACTACGACTTCCGGTACGCTCAGCAAATGAAAGAAATATATAATTGCGAATCGCTATAGAAGCCACCAAAAATTTAGCTGAGTCGTTCGATCGAACAATCGATCTATACACTCGCAGTGCATTTGCTCTCATCATTGTCATTCGTTTAAGTATTTTTTTCCCTTTTCTTTCTCGTATGCATTTTATTTTACATGGGCGATAACTGCGATAACGGAACAATATATATTCTGTAAAATATAATAATATGGCGATTATTCCAGACACTATCGTTATAAAATACAAGACGTAAGTACAACAACTCTATTGTAGCTTAGGTGCGAATCTGGTCTTGTCGAACCTCGGATCGCCGATATGTTTCAATAATGGAAAAAAAATTCGAAAATCGAGATTTTTCAAAAATTTAGAAATAACTTGGACACGCGTTTGGCAGTGTTTCAATCTACTGCGCATTATCGAAAACTTGATATTCGTGCGCTGTGTTTTTTTTTTCCTTAATCACGTATACCTTTTTTCCTTAGTTTTTATTTTTATTATTATTTTTTTTTTTGATAAAAATGCAGTTGCCGCTAAGGCGTACGCATAAAAACGCGTAAGAAGACAAGAGAATATGAAGAATACAAAAATGATGATTATGTTCATATCGAGGAAAGAATGATTGCGCTCCGAGGCCACGACAACTGAGGTATTTGTGACGAACGCCCTGCGACTACAGTGGCGTCTCTACCGGTGAGTTACATAATTTTTCGTTTTCTTATTATTAACAGTTTCATTTTTTTTTCATCGTTATTTTTTCAAGTTTACTTTTACTTTACTTTATTTATCATGTTTCTTTATTTTTTAAATTTCATCTCGCATGACAATTCTTAACTACCGGGAAATGTTCCTTTCTTTAAATCGAAGACGTCTATTTTTTTTCCATTATGTATTTGTATTCGTTTTGTACTTGTACTGTTCAGCAAGGCAGCGTGTTGCACTTTGTTTACTTTAAATTATTAACGAACCCTGGGCACTTGTGTCGCGACATGGATGAATCGGGCACCACTTTCCTCCTGAATTGCAAATTGAGTTTAAAACAGTAGATGGAGAAAATAACGATTCTAATATCCCTGTAGCTTCTTGCCACCAGGAAGCCAAAATTTCGGAATTGCAGGATGATATGGTTACCCGATACACCAAATCCCCCTCTAGATAAACACATACCGAGGGACAAATCTCGCAGTGCTGTTAGGTTAGATTAGGTGAGGTTAGATTATCGTACAACCAGGGCTCGCATCTTTCATTTATTAAGTTGTGTTTCCGGCTTTCGAAATCACGGCCAAAGAATCGTAACGCGAAAACGAACGAAGTAGTCATCTGTCTTCGCGTTAAAATAAAGACGTAAAATCGGTGCGAAAAAGGAAGAAAATTATGGAAGAAGAAGAGCAAGAAGATAAGACGAAAAAAAAAGAAACACGAAAATACTAAGTGAGGCGCCTCGATCGCTGTGAATTTTTGCAAATTCATGTTTTTCATTGTATCGTCCGGCGATCGAAACGCGACTAAAAAGAATGATCAATAAGATTTAAAAAACTAAGAAAAAAATATGTAAAATTTCATAACATCAAGATCATTCTCAAAAGAAGCCACGAAATGTAACAAATGTCACGTTCAACGGAAAATCTCTAAGAAAGTTGATAACTGATAAAAAATAACCTTAAAATAGGCCTATATATAATACATATATTTATATATACGTATGTACATAAGAGTTAACGTAACGTGCGATCTACTCGACATCTATAGTACATACATGTAAGAGCTAACTAAATTCGACTAATCCGGACTTGTGGTAGGGAATCATGAATTATATATATACGACAATAAAGACGCGAAGGAATGAAGATTTTGCAATGGAGAAATAAAGGAAGAGTAGGAAATAACATAATACACGCGCGCATGCGCACGCGTTAAAAAAATATAGTGCTCGGATAAGATCATTCATTCTATGGGAACTGAATGCTATTATACAAGATGAGGGACAGAATGGGAGTAGGATCTTATTATGTTACAATATTGCAAAAAAGTTGCGCATTGGACCTGCCCGTTACGTTACATCGCCCTATCATACATAATGATTTATGTGCTTGATTTTTTAAATCTCGCCCGCGGACAAAGAAAAAAATAGTAAAAAATGTACGGGATCTTTCGTGATACAGTGATTGGCTCGGTGGGCTGAATCGGCGCCATTTGAAAAAAAAAGTATGACTCACCTATAGGCCCACGATTATTGTAATCAAATTTGAGGGCTGGTGAGCCGGCGCGCGAGTCTACCGACCGACGTATACGTTGCTGCAGTATACAGGGTTCTTCAAATCGATTAGGGACCACCGTTCTTACTCCCACGGTATTATTTATATAGGTGAATTCAAAGACCCAGTTGACTTTTACCAGTCTTATGTTTTTAGGCGAAACGCACGGATCGTCAATTCTCGTGAATAAGGGTTTGGGCCTTAAGGCGCTGATACCGATTTGTACATTTTAAAGGCTAGACGCAAATCGAGCCTACGGGGCCATTTTTTGTCTCCGTCACTTCATTGTCTTTTTTTTTTATTTCGCGGGAATAGCCAGTGGACCCTTTTCGTTTTTTATGCGCACAAAACACATCCTAGCTACGAGCTACCCTCAAATAACTTTGGTCCATTCCCGATCATTATCATTTGGACCGACGTAAGTGAGACGGGGCCATTTTCGTTTTGTTTTTTTATCAAATTGAATCAATCAAGTGCATTGCTGCACTACTGAGCCTAGATTCCGTTTCTCTTCCGTTTACGAACTCGTGTGTCATTTTTCCTTTAACTTTGTATCTATTATTCTCGATCTAATGGAAAGAGCTACAATATGGAGAATTTTGGCGTCGATATGCGTTAGAGTGATCCATCGTTAAGCTTAGTCTTCACGGTTAACTTTTTTCACATGCAATAGTTTAACGTCATCTAGCGGCTGTCTTCGTTTCTATTTCGATTCATTGAAAACCTTCGTTATACTTTATTTTCAATTAGATTGAATAACGGCTGACTTCATTCATATCCTGCGAAGACGTGAGTCAACTTTCATATAGCGATTGGTTGGATTCCTTCAAGTTTCGATCTGGTGACTCGTATAACTGTGATCCTTATACTGACATCTGTAGTATATTTACACTTTTTATTTATCTTTATATTCGCTTTTTTCCCTGCGTCCACTTTCATCGGCCCACTTCCGGTTTTGACGTTCCTACTAGCCATCCTGTATTTGTTCATTCGCATCTACATTTCTATTCACAATTTCGCTCGTCCTACCTCTGTTACCTCGTATCTTTTGTTTCTCTCGAATATTTAACACTTTTTTTGCCCTCAGGATAAATTTCAAAACGCTCCTCGTAACAATTAATTTATACTTAAGGTTCATTAATATTAATTATGGCACAATATAAATATTATATTTAAAGTCTTTTTGAAGACATAATAAAAATAAATCTAAGTAGTCTTTCTCCTACATTCGACCTCTTCTTCGTCTTCACGTTTTGTGTGCTTCTTTTTTAGCATATCTTTTTTTTTCATTTTTTATCTCCGCTCTTTTTTGTTTCACATAATCTCGCAATTATGCGCTATTTAACTTTCCCTAAGCCCTTTCGATTCGAGACGAAATCTTCTCTCAACCCTTAAGACATTACCCTTTTTCTTTCACTCTCACGTATACATGGACACACCCTCAGGTGCCTGGCTCTTGTTAATGTATCTTTATTTATAACCCACACGCTTGCAAGCAATCCCAATATTTTTATTTTCTTGGGGAAGTTGTCTTTTGTTTTTTTTTTCTTTTTTCATTCGCCAATCGCAGTGTGCTCGGAGTTTTTCATTTTGAAAATCAAAAGAAATGTTTCTTGAAAACCAAACCGAGTTTGTCGCCAATCGTCTCAGACCCCATAGTTAAAGAAAATTACCATGAAAAAAATGAAATGTTTAATAGTATTTCCTTCAATCCCATCAATACATGCGAATAAGTAATTATGATTCAATATTAATCGATTTATCTATCAACGATTCTCTATCAGAGGGAGATCGATCGATATTATTGTAAGTTCTAATCCAGGTCTGAGATGATTGCTCTTTGGTAAGACAATATCACATAAAATCGGAACAAAAAAAATTCGTGTAAAACCAATCGAAAAAGTCTAATCAGTCAATTTCCCAATAATGGGATTTAAGAAAGGATAAGTGAGTAGGTGGTAAGAAATTGCATTCAAAAAAGTAATAAGAAAAGCAAAACAGAATGATGAGTCAAGAGTAATGTAATGTAAGAATCGCAAAAATAATTGACGATGTACAGTGATGGTCAAAAGTATTTGCACAGTATAATACATGCTTGACAAGCACTGCACGATGCCAATACTTTTGAGTGGTACTGTAAGTGCAAAAATACGTTAGGATTAAAGATTGGCAAGAAAAGAACCTACAGTCGTCGTGTAACGAATCGACATCGACCAAACAATCGATTGTTTAACAATACGTAGATGAAAAATAGTAAAGAAAATAATAGCGTGGAGTCAAGAAAGTGGGAGGGGCAGAGGGGGTGGGATGGATGCGTTGTCAATAAAAATAAAATAAGAAAAAAATCAGCCTTTTCTCGATTTCAATTAAAATGT